TTAGACCTTTTTTTTTTTCTTTTTCCAAGCGCACTAGTATTTCTTAAAAAACCAAAAGAAGCATGCTACATTCTTCCAAGTGTCCCATCCAGCCACAAAGGCTATAAAGCAAGGTATAACTTGGTGGGTGGCTGAAACATAACAACCATAAACCCTAAAAGCTTATACCCTCCTCGTGGGGCTTGTTTGCTTATACTCTTATATCCATAGATATATAGCTAACAAATCCCCATAAACTACATCTTTTGGTCCCACTGAAAAGCTTGCCCGTTTGCTTAATTATTATTTATTTTTCCACTAACTAATTTATTAACTTGAGTTTACTCCTCCTATATCTAAATATGTTCTCAAGCAAGCTTCCTCTTAACTCACCCAATGCTTATGTCTAGCCATGGCAATTTATTAGCTATATAAACTTAAAAAAAGCAGCTAAAATCCTAGAATTAAAACTATACAAAAACAATGATTTTTACCAAAAAAAAAAATTCAGCAATCCATTCTACAACTCTGAAATATGCGAAGCAACGATTAATTTAATTGCGTTATGAATCACGATGATGAATCTGTAAACATATTTCTCATATAAATCAAAACAAAGTTTTTCAACAAATTTAGTGCAAGGAAAAGAGCTCCAATCAAGGCCTAAAACATCAAGTTAGCTGATCAAAAACACCAATTAAAACAAATAATTATAATTATAATTATAATTATAATTATAATTATAATTATAATTATAATTATAATTATAATTATAATTATAATTATAATTATAATTATAATTATAATTATAATTATAATTATAATTATAATTATAATTATAATTGATAATAAACTAATAAACTCATCTACGAAATAAAAGCATTAACAAAAGCAAAACATGTATTAATTTACAGATCGATCAAACTCCATAACTAAATCAAACTTGTGTGTATTTACACAAAATTAAGTTTATGGATTTCATCATCATATGATCATAAAGCCTTATAAATTTCATGACATAAATAATTTCATACCATTTTATATAAACATCCCTTGTCTCACTCTTCACTTTCCTTCTTCTTCACTGAATCCACTATCTCCTGCATGAGCTTCACTTGTGCTCTTAAACGCTGTACATAATCTATAGTCTCCTCGAGCAATCTCGAGGAATCCATCGCTTCGCCGCCGGGCAAGATCCGGCGGAGTGCATCGTCATGATGGGCTTTTCGGCGCCGGGCTTTGACTCGAACTCGAACGGGCCGGGCCTTACGGCGAAGGCGAGAGAGTACGGCATGCCGCCATGCACGATCAGGCTTGGTAGAGCTTGCCATGGAAGCGTACGCTGCTCTCCTGATGGCTCTGCAGCGCTTGTGGAAAGTTGCAGTGCGGAGATTTATGAGGGAGAGAGAACGGAGGAAGTGAAAGGCTTGCATGGAGCTTCTAGGGTTAGGGTTTGCAGGTGTTCTCTTCCTCTTGTAGTTCATGGTAGAAGTACTGCAATAGAGAGAGAGAGAGAGAGAGTTTCTTCTGTCAGAGTTCTGACACACAGTTATAGAAGTCCAAATTCATATGTTCCCTTTTTAATGTTGTAAGATGGAGGAGACACGGAATTTGTAATTTAAGAAAAAGTTTGGGGGTAAAAGAGAAAGAATGTGGAAAGAAATGATTTTTGTATTTAAGTGCTTGTTAAAAGAAATATTTATATTTTTAGACAAAAAATGGGGAAGGAAATGATGTCTGTCGGCATGAAAAAAAAAACATTTTTATTTATATTTCATAAAATGGACCTAAATTTATAACTTTGCAAGGATTTCAGTTCAAAAAAGAGGATTTTGTGAGGGGAAAACAGGATATATTAATGAATTGAGATATGAAAATGATAATTTAGGAAAGTGGTGGGGTTTTTTTTGCCAATGAATCAAAGGCGGGGGATTTATGAATGTGTTGGTGTGCAAATTTATGAAGTACAATTTAACAGAACTAAAAGGCAGACAAATTATGTACTGAGGAAAGATCTTGTATGAGCTGCATGAGTTGTGTATATAATTC